TAAGAAAAATAACAGGTGAATTGAATGTTATGATAATCATTTTTTTTTCTAATTTTCGATTTGAACTTGTCCAACTTGGCGACCATTATGAGCTTCAAGTAGAAGGGCATCGTATGGAGAGAAATCCATGGGAATGTTGTCCATTTCTGCAGCCCATAACGCTACGGAAGCTATGAAACCCGGCTTTCCGGATGCCACAAGTTCCGATTCAGCTCCCATCAGCTTAAATGTCCGTAGTCATTTTCACAGGATCAAGATCCAAGTGGATTAAAACCTCGGTGAAAACTATACTTATAACACGATAGTCATTTCCATATCTGTATTTTGAACGATACATTTAAACGAGAAATAGTCGAAATGTTCCATTGGCCATCAGTATAGCTTCCTCTTCAGACTGGATCAACGAGTCACGTACGATACGGTCAGTGGCGTGCACAGATAAAAATTCTGAATTTGAATAGTGATGTAAACATTCTTTCACGTAAACTTGTATTTCATTTCACGCAACCGAGCAACTTGTAAACAATGTTGTTTACAACAATGGACTTTTGTATACAATATTTGCTACATTGCATGAAATGTCTCAGAACTTTATATGATGTATAATGTAAACTTTATATGATATGTGACGCTCCAGCTATGTGCATCATACTGAACATAAATTGACACTACTTTTTCGAACTGTTTTTAGTTCGGGAGCTTCTGCGCCGTTCCTGAAGGGGACGGGTCTACATCCCTGACAGCTGGTCTAAGCCAGTCGGCAGTTATTGGGGTGGGCACCAAAGGCCTCTTTTGCTCCCGGGTCTCCGGGCGTTGGCGAGGTAGGGAGAGTTTTCGGAATTATGAGAAGCTTGACAAAAAGGGTTAATTTATGCTTTAATTTAATGGTTTTATTGATCCAATGGTGGACGGGAGGTGAAACACTTACGCTGCTGTAATAGAGAAACCGGCCACTGTCGATGTCAGACTACCGATCCTCGTTTCTATCGGTGGCTGTAGTGTGCACTGGTCCCAGATCCTGGGAGACCACGGACGTTAGCTGTCACAGAGGCTGAAATCTCGGCCTCCGATAGGCACAGTATCACCATAGAGGTAACTCTAATACCAGAAGGTCCCGAAGAAATGAGCTCAACTTTTTGGCTCAGCTCTGGTACTATCTTCGGTCCCAAGCTAATCGATTCACCCCTCGAAACATAGGAAAAACCAATAACCCCTCATTTTATCTGTCACACTTTCATAGTGAATCAAAACAAACATTGCGTAGTACTAGAATTTCGACTAGAATGGGGTGCGTTAATCGTTTGCTTGGGACCAATAGGCTAGTCAAGCAGTGTGCCAATTTAAAATCGTTAGTTTCGTATTGATTGTTGGTATCACCGCTCTTCACACACTACCTTCCAAAAGTGCACTCGATGAACGTGCCTCCCCTGAATCCTATCCAAATTTCACCAGATCAACTCTGCTCCAGACTAACCGACTTTCTCGCCTCTTCATCGTAGCTCATCCACCACCCAGCAACTCCCTTTCGTTATGCGTTTAGCTCTATCCGCTGTTCCATCGTGGCCCTCTTCATTATGGGAGTCCAATCGCCACCCGTCACGAAACGTATAGATGACTGCACACTTAGAAATACCTAATCTTACACGCAACGGAATGCATCTTTGATATAAAGCATGCGACGCAAACAAACATGTAATGTAAAATTAAGTGTTCCGAGACTGAAAATCTTGAAAGTACGTTTGATTGAGCTGAATTTCGCCTCTATTTGGACTCAATTTTGTGTCAAAATTGACGCTCGTATGTGTCAGTCTCAGAGCTCGAAAATTTACATCAATTTTTCTAAGTGTGTGGCTATCGACTACAGATTGACCGTTAACTTTCTGAGCAAACTGAACACTGTTTCTTTTCCTATCGTCTTAAAATTATACGCAACAAAAAACCGTTACCGTTCGGGTAAGATTTGAATCCAAATGTCAGATAAGCAAACAAATGAAATTTGTCTATAGACTATAGCAGGCGAGCAAACAAACCATCGCTAGATATTTCTTAAGTATTTGTTAAGTACATAAATATTCCCAGGTATCTATAGGTATATCGAAAGACATACAAGGAAACTATCGATTTGAAATTTACTCACTACTTGACTAGCCTATTGGTCCCAAGCAAATCGATTAACGTATCCCATTTTAGTCGAAATTTCAGTACTACACTATGTTTGTTTTGATTCGCTAAGGAATTTTGACAGATAAAATAAGGGGTTCGTGGATCTTCGTATGTTTCGAGGGGTCCATCGATTAGCTTGGGACCGAAGATAGTACCAGAGCTGAGCCAAAAAGTTTAGCTCGTTTCTTCGGGACCTTCTGGTCTTAGAGTTACCTCTATGGTACAACGCCAACTTTCAAACGGTGTGAACATCCTTGTCATGGAAGGAAACAAGTCGTACAAAGCCAGTAAACATTCGAACCGGTACATGAAGCAGAATTCTGTGGCCAAAAAGCGTGCAAGGTTCTCGTACGACCGTGTTTTGACGAAACACAAGGGCTGCACTTTGATCGATGACGAAACATACGTCAAACTCGATTTTAAGCAGCTTCCCGGTCAGAAGTTTTAAAATCGCTACTGGACGTGGGGATGTGCCGGGAAGACTCAAGTTTGTGTTTGCCGACAAGTTCGCGAATAAGGCCATGATTTGGCAAGCGATTTACAGTTGTGGCCTGAAAACGGAACCATTCGTCACATACTCGACGATGGCATCCCAAGGTTACATCGAAGAATTCCTGAAAAAGCGTGTATTGCCGTTCATCCGCAAGAATAGGGGCAAAGCCATCTTTTGGCCCGATTTAGCCAGCTGCCACTACTCCAAGATGGTTCTGGAGTAGTATGCTGCCAACAAGATCGATTTTGTCCCCGTGCTAATTAATCATCCGAATTGTCTGGAATTTCGACCAATCAAAACATACCGGGCAATTTTAAAGCAGCGAGTTCGACGAAGCGGTGGGGCAGTCAAGGAAATCCAGCAAATGCGGGCAAAATGAAAGAAATGCGCTGATTCCGTGTCCGTTTCCACTGTGCGGACGCTGATGGGCTCCATCAAGAGGAAGGTTCGAGATTTCGTTCGAACTGGAGAAATGTAACCACCTTATGCTGTAACTTTGAAGTTTTAATAAAAGTACTGTAAGCAACCATTAATGGACTTTTTAAACTTATTGAATCACGCATTACAGGTATTTTTGTGAGTACCAATTTACTTTTAGTCAGCCTTTAGCAACTAAAATAAATATTAGTTTTGTAGAACAAAGAGTTTGCACGATTTTGCTCAATTTTCAGTGTGATTTTTCGTTAAACGTTTGCAACTTCAAAAAATTAGCATTATTGTCTCAAATATTCGGATTCTTCCTAATACTGGAAGTTTAAGCTATTTAAGTTACTGTTTCTAATCAATCTTAATTTGATATACAGATTTTAAATTAAGTTCTGACTATTAACTTTGTCAAAACACTTTTTATCAAATTGTGTTCTAATTAAGTGATCATCCAAGTGTAAAAGACGAGATTTTTTTACCTAAAAGGTTCTACGTAAGTCTGTAAAGCGGATCCTATGAAAACAATTCAAACGCCTTGTTTGTTTACGCGAGAAAACAAACAGATGGAAGAACAAAATTTTGGTTTTAGGGTTTTTTGTAAATTTATTTTTGTTTCAAACCTTGCTTTGATTGTTAGTTCTGAAGTTATGCGTTTGATTAACATTAATCAATTAACAATACGAATACAATGAAAAATTGAAGTTATAGGCATTTTTTGAAGTCCGTTTTATATATTTGTTTCATTTTAGAGTAGAGTTAATATTTCGTAAAAAATTACACGCATATAGAATATTATTTTATCTATGTGTATTCTTGATATGATGTCTTCGCCTTTAAGCTTTCCGAAGAAAGTATTACACTCTAAAAATTATGAACGTTCGTGTAACGTGTTAAATCACGCAGCCCAGCTTCCATCATTGCTATAGCGTTTAAGTGAATTAGCTACAATCTACAGGATTTCACATAAATGTCAAAAGAAATCCAGATAAAACTTAAGTGATTTTCATGTCCACGATATTAGGTGAATTTCACGAAAACGGTAAGTGATTTGCAAGTATCAAAAAAAATAGTGCGATTCCATATGGCGGTGATGCGGTGAAAGTTTGTTGTGTTAGTTTGTTTTCATTGAAAACAATTAAATCGAGATTTGAAAATCGGTTTGCAAATACACAAATTTATATACTTAAATGCAGGACAACTGCAACGGATTCGGCGCATTTCTTGTGATTATTATCATGTTAAATCTATCACCATTGGTTTGTGTATTCGAAACCATCAAATTAATTTTATTTGAGCATTTTAAGCTCAGTACGAGGCTCAGGATTCAAAAACCTATTTAAAATAATGAATCTTTTGATAGCATTTGAGAGCGGGCTTTAAAATAATTACCACATGAAAATACCGTCAAAATCATCGGTCAAATCACGCACCTTTTACGTGAAAATATGGTACGCTTCGCTCAATGAAGAAAGGATCTACCACAGAATCACGTAGCTCTTACGTGAAGAAAGGGATGGACAAAAGCTACTTATTTTCACGTAACTCTGACGCTGACGTGTATTATTTTTTGAGTGTAAGCTAAGCAGTCAAATAATAAAGTTGCGAATAAAAGTGTGTGTCCGTTTTATAACTTGAACAGTCTTTGCTCTAAAATCAACCGAGAAGTGATAGGTAAACATGTTGCAGTTTATCGAACGTTGAGTGTATTCAAGGCGTCGCATCCATAGCATATGCTGAAATTGTTGAAATATGAAAACCACGTGGCGTGAAATATTTCTTGTTTGCAAGTTCAACTTGCGTGCAGCTGCAGCCGTACAATATTTTTTCGAGCAGCCCGGTTCGAGCCTTTCGAGCAACCCACACAACGATTTTTTTTTTTTTCATTATCCGATTGTCAACCGGCTTCCGAACTGTCACCTTAAACTTTTATTCGCAGTCTGTTATTGTTTTCATGTTACGCCGATAGTGTTATTCAGTGTTCATTTTAGTCCAAAACTTTACAATGTCTTTTTACCGACGCGCTCATAAACTCAATCAATTCTCGCGGTTGCTGCACACTTTTCCCGGTAAAGCGACGACAGCCGGTTCCACCCGAACATCCTCAGGAATTTTGGCCACCCATCAGCGAGATCCCTCGGGATCTGCTCAGCGGTTAGCATTATTCAATGCCGCTGCTGCTGTAAGCAATGGCTGCTCCTTCCATTACAACAGCCAAAGGCGCAACTTTTCCAGCCAAGCACCGGACGATGTGCCTCCTCGGGGACGGGGTCGTATGCTTCCGAAGCTGATGGACTTTCCGGAAATCATCTGGCCATCGGTAATGAAATCGGTTAAAAATTGGATAATGGTGCACTTCATAATCCGGCCGTACTTTGACCGGGAGTTCAGTCTGCCGGACTTTGTTCAGGGTGCCAAACAGGCACTGCAGGTTAGTCTCTATCATTCAATGGGGTCTTTTATTCTCGGTAAAACAATGGAGTATTTGTTTCAGGTTGTATCAGCTTCCCTGGCGGGTGGGGAACTTAAAAACCTCGAAGGACTTGTAGATCGGCAAACGGTGAACGATTTGAAAGGATCGATCGAAAAAATGTCCGTTGCTCAACGGTACGAGTTGATGATATTAAAAGAAGACATCTATTTCTCGTTCCCGTATCAGGTTAGTTGAGGTGTGTTGGATTGGGAAACAATGGTTAATGCATTGTTTGTTCACAACTCTTTTTTAGGTTGGTGTAATGTTTGACGAAGAAGACGAAGCGAGTCAAAAGCGATTCGTTGAAATTACGATGGTATTTCACGTACTAAAGGGGTTGAAGGGAATGGTCGAACGGGGAGAGACAATACCACTGAATATTGGGTAAGTTTGTATGCATTTATCATTTATGAGACTTTCGTACCACACATTGTTTTTCGATTAATTTTTGAATAATTATTGAATAACGAATTGATTCGTTTCCTACCACGACCTGAGCGATGGATTTGCAATATTGATTGATACACTCAAAAGTTCAAAGCTTAAATAAAAGGTGGTACGTACCATTTATTGTGTTAACTAACACGCTGGACGCGGTAGAAATCGAAACATGTAAATCGGACCTATTCAAAAAATAATCGAGATTTGCACTACACGGTAAGAAAAAAAAACACTCAAAATTAAGTTTAAAAAAAAACTCACCGTTGGGTTCTATCATTTGAGGTCTACCGTTGCACTATGGGCAAAAATGGGTTCAAAATTACCCAAAATTCAATAGCTCAACAGCACGCTGAATTCCGGCCATGAAAAACAACTTTTCCGAAGGGAAATCGTCCGGGGAATCGATTGCACGTGGTTCCATAGACCGGAGAGCCTTGTAGGTATGTGTTTTGGACCATTTTACCCCATTTTTCCCTACTTTTTTGGAGGAAATGTTTTTTCACAGCTCTATTTTTCGTAAAACATAAGCATTTTATGCATGGTTCTAGAATACTATGTCTTTAAAAAACAGTTTATGAGATATTAGGGGAATACGGGGTTCACTTTATAGGGGAGAAAGGGGTAAAAGTGAAAATACAATCAATGCTTTTTTAATACAAAATCATTTTTTTTTTAATATCATTATTTTTTTTTCTGAAAAAAGCTTTTAAATAACTTTCATTTGGTATTTTGAGTTCCGTCATCGGCCAAACAGTTCAAAAGTTATAAATGTTTGAAAAGAATCGAAAAAAAATGATTTTTTTTGACCGCCCTAATATATAAATAGTCATCCTAATGACAAAATAAAAAATATGGGTCAAATATGTTGCGATAAGGAACAAAACTACCAATTTTTACAAAATTCTGAGAACCACTATATCGTTTTGCTGTATACAGACAAAAAAAGTGAAAACTCTTTTAAAACAGATAGCAGTAAATTAAAACTTATTTAACCCCAATTAACCTTAAATTTCGAAAAAAAAATCTTATTATTGCAGGCAACCTTTGAGGTCATTCAAAAAATCGCATCGTTCAACATTTCTATGAATTAAAATAAATTTAGCGAGGGTTCACTTTTACCCCTTACTCCCCTTTAAAGTGTACCCCGTATTCCCCTAATATCTCATGAACTGTTGTTTAAAGACATAGTATTCTAAAACCATGCATAAAGTGCTTATGTTTTACGAAAAATAGAGCTGTAAAAAAACATTTCCTCCAAAAAGTAGGGGAAAATGGGGTAAAATGGTCCAAAAGACATACCTACAAGGCTCTCCGGTCTATGGGACCACGTGCAATCGATTCCCCGGACGATTTCCCTTCGGAAAAGTTGTTTTTCATGACCGGAATTCAGCGTGCTGTTGAGCTATTGAATTTTGGGTAATTTTGGACCCATTTTTGCCCATAGTGCGTTGAGTGAATCAGAAAAGCAGCGATGGGTCAAATTTACTCATCTATTGAGTAATAATAGATGAACTCAAATTTAAGTTAATTTTCTGTTAATCATCGCTTAGCTCAAAACGTAGTATTTGTCATTATTGAATGAATTAGTACTTTCCTCAGTTGTTTATAATGTACATGTTAGTAAATTGTATTGCGTAAAGTAATTTACGAAGAATATCCTGAAATATTTATCAATACATTCCATTTAACTGAAACACGCTGCGATTCAAAGTAAAAACGAACGCAATTTTCAGTTAATAGTACTCAACCGTTATGTTTTCACCGTTGGGTACTTTTAACTTCATTTTGGATGAAAATCATATCAACCTGCACTGCCATCGACGCTGTCATTAAATTTTGTTTGTACTCCATCGCCTCTGCTCCTGCTCAATTAGTCCTCGCATTAGTCTTCGTTAGTGTTTGGTACATATCCCGCATAAACATAAGAAACGCCAGGATATCATCCCAACTCTATGCGGTATGGTCGTACCATCTATAATATCGTTTGTGTATGGTATCCGTTGGGGGTAGTGACAAAAGAAGTTGCTACGAAAACCGGTTGGATGCTGGTACGTTGGGTATTTTTCACCTATACAATTCGATTGATCGTTGGGTAATTTTTACTCAATGGATTCTTCATCAGGATTACTCAAAATTGAGTTTTCTCGTTTAACTTAATTTTACCTATCCCCACTGAAGCCACGTGTTGAGTGAAAGGAACTTAATTTTGGGTACTTTTTTCTTAGGTACCGTGTATATTTGGGAAGAGTTTTCCACACAAACTGCATACGTAGGGTATGACAGGCCAAAGGCGCACCCCTGGAGTAAAATGGCCCCGCGTGTTTTTTATACGTTTTTTTTTTTGTTGATTACTTTATTTGTACAGGCTCAATCGAATGAACTTTACAGAGCCAAGTTATCATTTTCTTTGTACATTATAAATGTCTTAAATCTAAAATTAGACAGCCCCATAAACTACGTAGACAGTTTATGGGGGGGGGGGGGTGACAATTATCCACGGCCCATACAAATTTTAATTTTTATGTATGGACAATTGTCTACGCAGGAGGGGGGGGGTCAAGAATCCCAAAAAAATGTCTACGTAGTTTATGAACAGCCCCTTAAAGGATTTGAACCGATTACTCGCGGTCTTCTCCAGGTTAGTGGATGACAATTGTTTGGATCGGGAGAGGGAAAAGGAGATTTGGAATATGATTTATGATTTAAAAATTTCACTATTTCTAAAACATATACTTAATCCTATCGACGTTATATCAACTCTGTAATTATACAATTATTACAGAAACAAATATACAAAAAAAAAACACACACACACACACACACACACACACACACACACAAAATACAAACTAAACACAATGTTAATCAAACGTACAATCTATGGTTAATATTCTGAAAGAAAACATATATGAGGTGCATAAACTCCACATCGCGTCTACCCAACATATCCCGAACTGGAACCTTAGGTTGTCTACCTCGAGCCCGAAGGGAATCGTACAACTCGGATCTGACTCCACGGTGCTCAGCACATGACCAAATAATGTGATCTGCGTCCTGGTAACCTTGTCCACATTCACAGAGATTGCTGTCCCCCAGCCCAACACGGAACAAGTGAGCGTTTAACGAGTAGTGATTGGACATGAGGCGAGACATCATACGAATGAAGTCTCGACCCACATCCAACCCTTTGAACCAAGGACACTTCGACACCTTAGGGATGATTGAATATAACCATCGTCCCAAATTCCCTTCGCTCCATTTATTCTGCCAGCTGACGAGTGACTGTTGACGATAAATGAAGAAAAATTCGTCGTAGGCGATTTGTCGATCGTAAATATCGCCTTCTATAGCGCCCACCTTAGCAAGTGAGTCCGCCATCTCATTGCCCGGAATCGAGCAATGAGATGGGACCCATGCAAAGGTGATGACAAAAGATCTTAAAGATAAAGCACTTAGAAGCTCTCGTATTTTCATGAGAAAAAACGAGGAGTGCTTTACCGGCCTCATAGAGCGAATAGCTTCGACAGAACTGAGACTATCCGTAAAAATAAAATAGTGATCTGGTGGAAGTGAGGCGATCGTTTCTAGCGTATAATGTATTGCCGCCAGTTCAGCAACATATACGGAACAAGGAGCATTAAGCATTCGAGAGGCGCTATGAAACCAGCGGACGCCTCTATTAGTGATCCATCTTGCGGAATCAACTTGGCCAAACTTTGCAGCGAAAATTGACGGAGCAATCATGGAACGATGATGCTCTGGGATTCCGCGAATCTCTTGCGTCATGGATAAATCAAAATGAACAGAATTGTCGAAGTCGGAGAAGCAAACACGATAGGGATTATGCTGCGAAGGGCTGACATCCTGTGTTATGTACACGTAGTACAATGACATAAAACGAGTTTGAGGGTTCAGCTCAAGAAGCTTCTCAAAGTTTGCAATCACCAGTGGGTTCATAATTTCACATCGGGTGAGGAGCCTGAGGGATAATTCCGAAAACCGATCAGAGAGTGGCAACATGCCCGCTAACACTTCGAGACTCATCGTATGAGTCGAGGGGGCCATGGGGCCATCGAATGCATCCTAACGCGATACGAAGACAGCGATACTGGATCATCAAGTGCGTTTAGCCGCCGACTGGAAGCAAAAACTACCGTACTCTAAAACCGATAAAATCGTTGTCCGGTACAACGTTAGAAGATCTTGCGGATGGGCTCCTCACCACGTTCCGGTAATTGTACGGAGAAAATTGATCCTTTCTTGGCATTTCCGCTTCAGATACTGAATGTGGGATCTCCTGGTGCATTTTGAATCGAACCAGACCCCACGATATTTGAAAGACGTGGAATGAGTGATCGGCTTACCCAAAAGTTGAAGCTTCGGTTGTGCTGGGCTATGCTTCCTAGAAAAAACGACCAACTCAGTTTTCTCCGTGGAGAATTCGATACCTAGCTGGATAGCCCAAGTAGACAAATTATCTAAGGTATCCTGTAAGGGTCCTTGCAGGTCGGCCTCTCTGGGCCCTGTCATAGACACTACTCCGTCATCTGCAAGTTGTCTCAACGTGCAGTTGTCACTTAGACAATTGTCAATTTCTCTGACGTAGAAATTATATAAAAGGGGGCTTAAACATGAGCCCTGGGGGAGACCCATGTAGCTAAATCGTGAAGCTGTAGAGTTTCCATGAGAAAAGCTCATATGTTTCTCTGACAGCAAATTGTACAAAAAGTTATTAATTAATGGAGAAAGGCCACAAGCGTAGTCCCTCCCCCCCAGCCCCCTTAATATCCAAGAAGACAGAAGCCATTTGCTCTTTTTTAGCAAAAGCCAACTGAATTTCAATGGAAAGCAACGCGAGACAATCGTTCGTTCCCTTGCCCCTACGGAAACCAAATTGAGTATCTGAGAGTAGGTGGTTCAACTCAACCCATTTGTCCAGGCGA